ATATAATTAAATTATACAAAATTAAATTTTAATAGATAATTTTATAATTATATTAAATATTAAGTATTTTCTGTAAAAACCAAACCAGAAAGCTTTAAAATGAAATTTTTAACATTATATATAAAATTACTGTAAATGTATTGTGATTTTCTGCACCTTTAAAAAAAAAACAATTTAAAAAAAATTTACCAAATACACATATCTAAAACTGTTATATGACTATATAAAAAAACCTACAACCACAATCTCAAACATACCCTTAGCTTGAACCATATCCAACAATTGCTCTAAAAAATCCCCATTACTCTAAAAAATCCCCATTACTCTGAAACACAATAGCATTCCTCCAATACCATAAAAACTAAGACACAACCACAAAAAATACATGCACTCATCTCCTTTCCAGCCAACATACCCAAACTACCCATAAAAATATTTACCACCCCCCTCACTGTATTCGGCATCACCACCTCCAAACCCCACCAATGAAGCACCTTAGCCCACACTAACCAAGCTTCTTTACATGTAGGTTGACGTCTTCCACCCCCTCGTTACACAAATCACATCTCATTCCGTTCCCCTACAAAACCACCGCTCTTTTCTACAAATTCCATCTTGTTGGAACGAGACACAACCTCCACTGAAAAAAACCCACTTTTGGAAGCCACTAACCTACACCAAATCAGTTTGCAAAACTGGATTTCAAGCAACACTCTATAGGAGCTAAAAAATCATAAGCTCTCTTAACCATATATCTACCTTCCAAATCATACAGCCACTGTTAGGAATCCTCCATGCCTTCCTTAATCTATATCCTACCCAGCACCATCCACAACATTCCCCATCCTATCCATGTTCCATTCTCCCCCTTTGCCACTCCATATGCCACCGCCACCTTGCCCCCTCCCATTTCCCCATTTCCCTTACCACTCCTTCCTTATTAATAGCTAACTGAAATAGCCTAGGACATAAATCCCTTAAAGATCTATCTCCTACCCAAATATGTCTCCAAAAATCCACCTGACTTCCATCCCCTACCACACACCTATACCCCTTCACCAACATATTCCTTAACCTCACAGATTTCCCACCTATACCAATAATATCTCCCCAAATCTTAGACTCCCTCAAATTCTCTACCGCAAACTTGATAGGAATTAAGAAAGCAACCTCTATAGTTTCGTATATATAAGAAATGTACTTTTTATCATACAAGTAAATATAAGAAAACAACATTTGTTTTCTAGAAGGATGTTCTCTCTTTAATACTATAAAATAACACATGAATTTAAAGGTTTTGCATGAATTTAATAATACTTAATACAAGTTGCACAAGTGTACGAGAAATAGAAAAGATTTCTATTTTTTTTTTCTTTTGGTGGAAAAAAGGAATTGGTTTTAGTTAGTGAGGTAACATTATGGGCACCAAGCAGCAACAAGCAATGTGACAACTTCACATCCAACTTACGTGTACACCATTCAGACCTGCAACAAGCTAAGAAAGCAGCCTCAATATACCTCCATGCATGTTTACAAGAGATGTACCCTTATCAAGCAATTGTAGAGATGATGGAAGCATGAGACCGACTCACCATCAAATTTCACTTGGAAAGGACATAAGCCGCAATTTCTTTGATCTCAATTTTCAGAATCACCTTGACTCTGCGGACATAGAAACACCACAATACTGAAGGTGAAAGGAAAAATTATAGTAAAAATTTTCCTTCTCAAAATCATGATCTATCAAGCATTCATACATACCTTTCTACTTTTTCCTGTTATTTTAAAGACTCTAAGTGAAGATTTGTGTAATAAACGAAACGAGAAATAGATAGAACTTAAAAGAAGAAAACCTATAGAGATCTTTTGAATCAATGCATACCTTTCGCATCAAATGTAGTTGTATGGTCGAGTTTAGGTTGTCATCCCAAAAGCCTTCATCTTCATCTCCAGTCAATTTTACTTTTTGCAATTTTGGCATTCTTATTTCATCCATAGAGAAAGTCTGCATACTTGGACAATCCATCAAAATCACCTCTTCCAAAAATGGGAACTCAAACTTGCATTTAACAGAGCAAAAGCTTGAAAGTCTAGGCAAACCACAAAGTTGTAAATCCTTGAGTTTGCTAAAGACAATCTCATCCTTCACATCATCCTCCAAGCATGTGATGGTTTCCAACAAAGGTAGCGGAGTGGCCTTTTGAGCTTGTGATTGACTAATACCAGGTTCTTGAGACTCAAGTATCTCTTCAAGTGAATCACAGTTCCATATTTGGAGTTTGTCTAGTCTCTGAAGCCTTTCCACCATACTAAATGGGAAAATATTCATTAACTTTTCGCATCAAACCACGCTCACCAAAGTTAGTTGGCAAAAAGAATTTACTTCGAGTCGGTCATTCCATATCTTATTCAAGCACTTCACATGTTCAATGATCAAACACTCTAATTTGGGGAATGCCACCTAGAGATTTACATAATTCAATTAAAATTAAACATAATCATAAATGTAATGAAATGAAAAAGATTGGAATCTAATTTTTAAAAAGGAAAAACTTAAAAAAAACAAAAAAAAAAAAAAAAAATAAAAAAAAATAAAAAAAAAAAAAAAAAAGGAAAAAAAAGGGAGAAATCACCTTTGCGTCGAACAAAGAAAGTGCACAAGTGTTTCTGACATTATCAGAACTAGCTATCATGTCTCCAAAAATAAAGCTAGAGACGAAAGTCTTCAACACAGGGCACTTGCTTATCTTAAGTTTCCAAAGGCATGGTAATTCCAAGTAATTTCCAGAACAAAATCTTCTGAGTTTTGGAAGGTCTTGGAGTAGCAGGAACTCCAGGTTAGGGAAGAAAATCTTGCACATCCTTTCCTCGTCCACTGATTCTTCTACAAGTATTATCTCTTCCATCATATGACAATCCTGAATCTCAAGCCAATTCAATTGCTCAAAACTCTTAACCATGGAGGACATCAATAGATTTTTCAAATTACCACAACCCTTCACACACAACTTTCTTAAATTTTGGACATAAGAAGAGATTTTTGGAATCAAATTGTCCAAAATTTGTTGAATGTTATTTGAAGACAGACTCAAAAACTCCAAGTTGGGAGTCTCCACCTGCAAAGACTCATAGTTAGTCTGTTAATACAAGACATTGTAGGAAGATGACTCTATCATATTTGCTTAATGTTAACTTTATAAATTTTAAAAAACTCCAAGTTGAGAAAGTCAACCTAACAGAATTTTCATTAAAAAGTTTTTGGTTTTTTAATTGATTAAACTAAAAACATTACAAGGGTAATATCAAACCAAGAACACGAAGACAACGTGCAATTATGTGAAGTACATTGTTATTTTGAGTAGAAAACAGTGAACTCTTTTTGGACTTAACGTTATTTGGGTCAATGCGGACAAAAAAGGGAAAAAATGTTATTTGGATCAATAATCCTACTTTAAAACTTGAGTAACTTCACATTTAAAGTGGTTGTTCTAGCCAGGAGTCTTTTTTTCTAATGGTGTATTAAGTGGAACTTGTTTAAGAAGATTCATTCATGAAGCTAAAGAAGTGGAGATGGCAACATTGACAAGCGAAAAGCAACGATAAATATACTGTAAAATCTTAATTACAATAAATAAATATATAAAACTAACCATGTTGCTGTAAAAACAA